ATAATCCAAATGTCTCTATAGGTTAACTTAACGTGGAATCTGAGCGCTAAAATGACGATTCATTAAGAATTAGCCGTTACGAATTAGCTGCTAAAGAAATGAGTGCGTGTACTCAGTTGCTTCGGAAAAAAGATAAAAGACTTTAACAAAATAAGAAACTTCAACAGATGTCAGAAAATACGATCTTCCAAATTATAGACAACTTAAAATAGCTTTGGTCTCGTTCAAAAATGCACTAGTCCCTTGCTCACGCCTTATATAAATTATTACTTTCAAAACCAAGTTTTATTATTTGGTATTGCTTATATAACCTGTGGTCTCCTACGGAAATGTTTATTTATAAATGCTTTTTGATAGACTAGTATATTAGGTTTTATTTGACTACCAAACTAAATTGCACAAATATAATGACAATAAATCGCAAAATTAATTCCATTGTAAGCAGCAAATAGCAATAAAAGCATTTTGAAATATCTATTACTATTTACTTACCGAAGTGACCCCAGTACGATGCTAGGACGCTTTAGAAAGCAACGACCGACAAACTAACTATCACCTCAATAATCAAAATCGCTAACGAAATGAAAAATCGTTCTTGATAACACGGTACAACGTCCCTGCTAAGGTAATTCCCTTCGCTACTAATCTGAATTACCGTTTGCCCTAATCTTTTTGATTATGATGCATGACTAGCTAAATGGCGAATCGTGTCGAATAACGATATAAGATGAACAGGGTACTTCTAGTCTAAAACGATTCTCCGATTTCTCTTCCATTTATCTTCCGGTGTCACTTTATCAGGCTGGTCAGCATGGACTGCTCCGTTTTGTATAGGGCATAAATGATCAGAGCATTCATCAAGTTTACGCTTAAATAGGTATAGCAAAGAGTACGCAACCAAAATTTTTGAGCCCCATAATAATGAAGCTACAATAATGAATTCTAAAATGTTCAATCTGATTAAAACATCGACGAATAAAAATGCCAGCGAATGAGAGCTCGGATACTATATACCTACTGAGTCAGATGTGACTGACGTAATCCAAGTAACCCTCAGTTATAAATTTAAAATTATGCGCCCTGAATTGTAGGCGTACTACCCTCGTTAATTAGAATAAAAAATAAAAATTAAATAGAGCAGCTGTTTATTCGAACTGCCTTCTGTGTAGTTCACTGAGGATGTTTGTAATAGTTATCAATTGGCTTTCCGAATATAAGACCGACTTTTGCCGACATGTTAATGTTCTAGGCTCTGCTATTAGACCATTACATTAGAAGGTGACTATAAGGGTCAAGAAAAAATATCTTCGAGGATGCTTTACCGTTAGGGTCATAGTTTAAGGGTCCGAACGACAATGGTCTATTGACAATTAATTCGTTGCTATGAAACAAGGATATATAGTGCAAGCAGAAACGACTCAGTTCAATCGATGATACATATAAGAATATATGTTAGCTTTCTTAACAAAAATATATATTTTGTAATCTGTATAGGTAGGTACCGCGTTGTATGTTCAAGTATTTATTGATCGCCTAGTGGAATCTAACTACTCCTTTTGATATCTGTTTTATCTTGGCTAAAGCGATTTTCTGTCGTGATATCTTCCTGCGAAGCGTTCATGAGGTGAATCGTACGTAATAAGTTAATAAAAAAAAAAGTACAAATCAAACATCCGTCTACGTTCCGCTTCGAAGTATAACACACTATGATCATCAATAGCTTCCATGTGCGGTATTTGTGCCACGAGTAACTGATGCAATGTTGTTATTTATAAAAATTCACGACGTTGACTTTGTTTCAAAGCCAATGTTTCCTAAACACTACATATTCAGAGTATATGTATCAGAGTAAAAGTAACTTATTTTTAGGTCATATCTAATGCAACTATTTTTAACATTGAATTCGTCTAATCTGGGTGGCGGCCTTGAACATTCAACAGTTAAATCTTAGTAAGGAGATTTCAAAATCTCAAGGCATGTTGGCTTCCCTTGATGTTGCCGAGAACGCTTAGAAACAATATTACTTGCCCAACAGCGCATGCTTTGCACAGAAACAGTTGGGGATCGTTCTGCCAGAACTAACGCTATTAGATCCCCACAGTCCAACAACCATGTTCAAATTAATAACTAATTGTTGCGAGCTGGTGATGAAAAGCACAGTCATTTAAAGAATATATATATATTACAGTTGTTCGATTCCGCAACTAATCTTTCGGTACTCCTGTTACCTGAAATTATTTAAACAGCTTTATGTCACAACTGATGTGTTCTGAAAGTGACGGAAATCGGGCTTTTTCATATTTACTTAACTAGTCTATTCATAACGATTGCGACGACGTTTCGCACTATCTCACAGGGGGGTTTACAGGCCACTTGACCTGTTCGGGTTATGTGTGACTGTTATCACTTATTGAGCATCATCATTGTTGGCCAAAGTTTTCATGAAGTTGAGAAAAGTCTTCCGCACTTTTGCATTTATCCACGTTCTCGCGGCTCTCAACTCTACCTTAGCTCTTGTAGGGACGAATTTTCACAAAAGGAGCTCAGCACGACGAACAATAAATCAACCTGTTGACCCACTTAGTGGGCGTATCCAATGAATGTTGAGAAGAACTGTTTAGCTGTCAATTTTCTCTAACTGTTATCGCTCTCGACTAATGTCATAACCGTACGTACATACCTTTGAACTTTGAGCGGATGTTGGCAAGTTCCTTATTGATTCGTTTGATTTCCGCCTCTTTTGATTTGGAGTTTCGGATATCTGAGATGAACACCGAGAGGCCGCGCATCGCATCACCGCTGTTTCGAATCTTCGCCATCTCCGCTACTGGATGGCGATTGGCTGTTTCTCTTTGAGTGTCCCTGCGATCTGTTTTCTTCTCTTTTCCGTTGCAAGATGTCCAGCTGTGGCGTTTTTTGATCCAAAGAACACTGGCAATCAACAAGCTAACAACGAATCTATCAAGTGGTCCGTGCGACAACTGATGTTGCTTGTTCCTAACTGGTTGACTGACTGGCTGACACCTCACCTAGGTCCATCAGTGGCAGCACCGCCACCCAGCGACCGTCGTCGTCGTCGTCGGCTGTCTGTCTGCACGTCCGTCCGTACGTTCGTTGATCCGTTCGATTGGACCTGACCGAATTAATGACAACAACAAAAGATTGCTCCAAAGGCACGGAAAGGTAGTAGGAGGAGGCAAAAAATGCCCCGCCGAGCGCTCGATTGTTGCTAACCTGCTGTATGCATTCGCATTCACATTCACATAAATAGACACAGCGTCGCACTGCGAGCGACAGGCCGGCACTCGCAACAGCTGCAGTAGGCACTCAGGAAAGGTCAGCCCTAAACAATCACTCACTGGTGTACCATCTGAACGACGACAGGCAGCAACGGGAGCGGAGGGTAAAACAGGCTGGCAAGCAAACAAAACGAGTGCACACCGCGACACATAGCAACGCGAACTCGATTGCTTCTGCTGCAGGCGTTAGACGACTGGCAGTAGCAGCAGCAGCAGCAGCCGTAACAGCGGCGCCAAGCGTTCGAGCGCAGCTTTCAATAGCATAATAGTGTTACACACAGATCAGCAGCAGTGACAACAATAGCACTCGCAATAGCAGCAGCAGCAGCAGCAGACAGGTGTCAAGATGGCGAACCTCGGAACAACGTAGGAGCTGACGATACCGAGTTGCAGCCGACGTCAATAGAACATAAAGACAGATATGCATGCGTAATTGGCGTTTTCGGCGTTCGTTGTCGCAAGAGCGCGCCATTTTCAAATTGAGTTATGGGCTCGCGGCTGAAGTTATCCGTTTCATTTAACTAATGATACTAGCAGAAGAAAGAAAATAGCAGCGCACGCCTTTAATTTAACGTCGCAGAAGAGATTCAACTATCGTTCACAATAGTTTTCAATGAAGATAGGAGAATATATTATGATGTGAAAAAGACATTCTAGGACTAAATGTCATCTCTTATATCGAAATTGAGACTAAAAATACATGGCAAGTGTTACATTTGTGTTTCGAGCAAAGCCCAGATCAGTAAATATTACAACTACTACTGTTATATTATAACGCAGTTTATTCTTGCCCTCATAAGTTGATATCAATCTAAAATTGACATCAGTTTGTAAGCACAATAGGCATGAGCCAACAGAACTTGCAAATTCAACTTATTATTAGCAAAACATAAACTAATAAAAATACTTGTTGTGCAATATGCATGTCAAATTCACAGCCGATAATACACAGACCACTGTTTGTAATAATAATAATAAATTATTATTATTACTTTACGTTATTATTCATTTTTATTTAATCTATCTTCGATTCAAAAACCCAAAAATAGAATTAGAAAAAACAAATAGATATTTTTGTTGCATCAAGCTGATAACAAAGATTTGGAGTAATCTGCTAATTAAAATAGTATTAAATTTTTGTCCATGCTTTAAACTTATATAAATTATTTAAAATATTTACCCTCGTACTTGGTATATATATATATATTAGGCTGTTACAGGCAAATGCATTAGGCTTTAAAACTGAGTAACTTTTGATTGGGCTAGAATGATGATTTTTTAAAAATATATTAGAATTACTTTTCGCTAATTATTTTTGAGCACATTTATCCCTACGCTATGGCGGACAGCCATATAACCTCCATTCGCATTCTCATTTGTAAATTTTTTATTTGTAGCTTCTCGGAGTAAATAAATAGAAAGATATGCTTGATTACGGAGTTTGCCATGTCTTTTTTTGGAGAACCCCGTAATCACACGCACTTAGATGTTAGATTTTCCTTTTCTCGGCTCAGGAGGCAATTATGGCAGGATGATAAAGTCTGACATTGTCCTCAAGTAGCCAGCCTGTACGCTTTCGATCGCCACTCCAACGATCCATGAATCTCTCGAGGAACTTAAAGTAGCGAGTTGCATCCACTGTTCGATTTTTTTGCGAGTATCTCAGATTAACAGATGCCTCTGATGTTCATTCCAATCACTGTCATGAGTTTACATTCGAATCTAGTAGGCATTTACCCCAACTCGATCTCTCTTTAGGGTGATGCTATACTCCTACCTGGTCCTTGCTGGGCTGGCGGTAGAGATTGAAGCCTGCTTCGTCTATGGTGACCGTATGCTCTGGCAGATCGAATTTTCGGAAACTGTACGTGAAATATATCATGCATATTTTTGCGGATCTTTTACTCATTTTCCGCATATTCAGTATTTGGCTTATAATTCTGTAGAACATTGCGTGTGAAGTGTCAATTTTAACCAACAGAGCCCTTAGACTTCGAGTTCTGCTCTCGTGAAAAGCCTCCTTGAATGCGGCAACGCATTCTTGTCGTTTGGATCCCGATGTTTGGTCACCTCTTCCGCTGGTTTTCAACAGTCCAATCTCCGTTCTTAAAACATCTCCAGCATTCGTGTACTGTGTTTTCATTCGAGGCACTTTTGCCTAATGTTTGTATCGAGTTTCGATCAATTTCCACTGTGGCAACAAAAGTTTGACCAATCAGTATTGATTTTCGGGTTTTTTCTTCCGGTTTTATTTCTTTTAGAGTAAATTTAGATGGTCACTCGTAGGTTTCTAAAAGACCGGGTTTTTACCATTCAAGTTTCATTTGCTATCACCGTGTAGCTCAAAAGGTTATTCAATATATTATACCATTTGCTGAATTCACTTAGAACACATGTATATATATATATATATATATATATATATATATATACACATTTACATAAGCTTACTTTAACTTCGCGTCAATATTCTCAAATCTCAGTTTAATGTAATAGGACTGATTTATTTTATTTCGAAAGCACTTTCTATTACATACAATGCGTACAATATTATATAGAATCAGAATATCAAAGTTTCATATTAAATAAGCTGGCTAAATTATAGCCAGAATAAATAAAATATCTATTTTTTTCGCTTTGTATTGATTTTTTTAAATGTTTTTTTTTCGTTCTCTTCATTCTGCACTTATATTTGAGAACTGAGTTTTTACTTAGGAAATTGCTAAATGTATATGTAGACTGAACACTACATTTAGTTGACGTAGAATGGTAATGTAAGAAACTGTCCCCTTCCTGACAACGTAGGCCGTCGCTTCAAGCCAGGCTATTGATTCAACAATACCACGAAATTCGACGAACCAAAGCAGGGGTAGAGGTTTCCAAAGGAGGAAACAAAGTGCATTGTATATACGATAACAATTACAGTTTACATTGAACATCCCTGTGTGGCCTTTAGACGGGACAACATTGTGTTAACGGAACACAGAGGTGACGCTTTTTTCTCGAACATTTAAAGTTTGGGGCTAGAGGCTACAAGCGTTACGGCTATACACTGGAACATGAGAAATATTATTATATATGTTATAAATGTTTGTGTTCCAAATCAATAAAAAGCGCAATGATCACTCAAATTCTAGCACCATTATATTGCAATTGACTGGAAAGGAAGTTCCCGCATTTTGTACTGATTAGAAAATTCCATATTCTCTTTATTACTGTGACAACAGGTTATTATGTTATGTAAGTTATAAATGCCGTTTCATCAAAAGGGAACTGGCTCCGTTCTGAAAAGAAATATGAATATCATTTCAACTAGTTGTATTTAAGGTAAGGCTTTGATGACGGCAAAAGTGGAATCTTCTCGGTGCAAAATCCTGAAAAATAAGGAAAATGCAATAAAACTTCCGATTCAGTGTCTTAGACAGAAGCTCCTTGGTGTTCGCTGTGTGTAACCTCGCGCTGTCATGGAGCAGGATGACTTGATTTCGTATGTTAAGTTCTTTTCCTTGAAAAGCTTGTCTGAAAGGAACTGAACAAAATGAGCGTGCCCATTGTCTGGTACGTAGAAAACGATTGCCAGTGAATCAGATCTTCGCAGTCCCAACAAATGCAAAGCATCACTTTTTTTTTTTTTTTTATTAAGGTTTACTTGGATCCTGAGCTTTATTTTGCTCTCAAGGCCCTCCATTCCGATCCGTCGCTCGCGTTGACATACAGATACCCCCTTTTATTATCGGTGCAAAAATTGGTTATTGCGACCGCGTGGAGTTTGATACCGCGCAACAGGTTGAGATGCAGTACTAAGCCCTAATTCCTTGTTTGATTCAAAAAGTTCAGGAGGTACCCAAGCTCAAAGTTTCTGTGTAGACCCAATAAACTTGAAGTGGTTAATAATGGCAGCCTTTATTTTTGGTCAATTCTCAGTTGTTTGTCGGCCGTATTTTTTTAAAAATGTTTTCAGGTGGTCGACACCAAATTTAAACAATCGGCCCAAGCATGATGGCATCCTCTACAACCCGGATACCGTTTCCACAACTGGCATTGAACTTTTAAGGAGTTCAATGCGCGATAGCGTTGCTACCGTATATTCAGTGTAAGTGTCCTAGGCTACCCTGATGGCGGTCCAGTTTTTATGTAATGCCCAATGCAGAAAGCGTCTGTGATTTGGAACGGCCCTCTTTGAGAACCTTCTTCGAGCTGAAGTGACAGTCTAATACAGGACTACTGTAGCTCGCCAGTAGGATACGAAGAGCACTATCAAACGGTATCTTAGAAGTAAACGACAAATGAGTGTATGTGGAAAGGGACATATCTAAAAACACCAAAACCTTCTTTTATTGACGCGATTTAGTATTTGAAGATGTATGAATAAAGTAAATTGTTATACTTTATTTTCTCGACCCAATATACCTGTCTTCATTGTTCTGTACAACGTTCTACTATCCCTCAGCCAAATGATTCCTTCCTTCTCATTGGAGATTATTAGGTTTGGTGTTGAATAATAAGTTTAGAAATTGGTGAATAGTCTTGTTAAACTGACTGAGCTCTATGTCCAGCTGCATCGATCGACCTATATCCTGGTTGACCCATTTGTTCGTTTCAAACATTTCTAGGTATAGAAGTCAACCAAACACATATCATATTTTTATCCGGATGGAGACTTGGCCTAACTCTAAGCTGAGGTGTATGTCCCGGAGCTACCGTTCCTTTCTATATATTGACGTAGAGACATCAACTCTCGTCACTGGTCACAATCCTATATAAAAGCCTGCCATTATAGCTGCGCGTTGCCTGGTTCCGGACAAGATGTTAAGGAATAATGACAAAGTATGTTTCCTTGTGGTGCTTATTATGTTCACTGCGCACTCATGAGTAAACTTCACGTATCTCAGGTGTTTGTCGCTACTCATATGACTTTAGTCTACTTTTTCGTCCAATTCATGCATTGTTTGCCAGACGCCTTTTTTCAAAAATACTTTCAATCGGACTTCTGAATCTCGGATAGCTTATCGGGGCGGAGTGCGCTTTCCAATTCCAGAATGCCTTCTTTCAATTTCGCAGATTAGTTCCGAGCAATTCTTTCAGCTATAGGGTCTCTATTGTCCACTGCACGAATCTCTGATGCTGCCTTGACGGCTAGTTACCCTCGGCAAAAGGCGAAGTAGAGGGGACTTCGAGGGCACACTTTTTGTGCACCTAGACCCTGCACCTTTGGAGGCTGAACTCGACATAAGATTTTGTTTACTGCTTAATACGAGAGGATATTTTCAAATGGTGTATAGAAATAAAAAACGCTGGAGAACTTACAAGAAAAGGAAGGGTTAAGTAATCGACAAAAACTCTCCGTTGTTTGCGCCTCTAAGATTTGGGTTGTTTAACTACAATAATAGAAATAGCAGTGTCTCTACTAACCCTTGAAGCAATCTTTTTTCATATCCATATTTAGTTAGACTTTAATTTAGTGTGTGTGAAATTTTTAGATTCGTGTTTTATCCCATATTGAATATTGCAAACATTTTATAATCCATCTTCTAATATTTGATTTAAATCGAATCAATCAGATATTCTTTGCCGTCTCTTTGTTGTGAAGTGCAACAAGTTTTCCTCTTCTCTATGTATGATAAGCAGTTTACTTTCATAGAAGAGCAGTGTTTTTGTCGCTCCTAGTTATAAGATAGCACTCATTTTACCAACTTACGCGTACTTGCAAGGACTGTAATAACAGAAGCTACACATGTAAACAGATCAGGTCTTTTTCAGTTTATTCCAGGCAAATTACTAATAATCAGATTGATTAGACACAGCGTAATAGACACAGCGACACAGGTGACGTGTTTAGGTTTTCCGCGAAACGGCCAAGTGGGCCTTGCCTGTCCCATAATACATAATTCATTTCTTTATATATATATATATATGAGTAAACAAATTGTACTGTACAAGGAAACGTGTATACAAAGTACGTACTATACTAAACATTATGTATATGCGAGAAATATTATCATCGTCAACTGTAATTTTGATAGAGTCAATTGTTACATTGAATTATTAATTCTTCTTCTGTTTTCGTTATCAACAGTACGTATGTTTAGTACCCATTGGGAAACCTTGAGCGAGAATCGCCATTGCAGGTGATGTCTAATATGGTCTTCGTTCAGTCACGGAACGACTCAGAATTACATGTTCGATAAAAACGACTGTGATCTAGCATCGGTACAATGACACTTCTCGCCTATAGATATTGTTGTGAAGTCAAGCACACTAAACGCCCGACTAACTGGACGAAACAAACAGCTTGTTCCATGTTGCCGTGCTATTGTATCGCACTGCTTCATTGCAATCTGAAAACATTGTTGACGGATTAGTAGAGTGCAAGCATGGTCGGATTAATGGGCCGCTTATCGTAAGGTCAACCGTAGGCTAGATTAGGCTAGCAATGCCGCAATAAAGTAGACAACAAGAAACCCGAAATAGGCCACCGGGTAAGCGAGACGGCAGGCTGCATCGATTTTATTAGCTGAACCATTTTTTTCGTCCTCGTTGTCAATCCACTTGATAAAGACAAATTCGATCATGGCTCCGAGTATAAACAGAAGTGTAATGGCAGTAAAGTAGTCAATCATCTTCGCGTATGGCGTCTGTGGCAGGTCTTGGTTAAGTGTCGTAATTCCGTGGACGGCCAGTGCAAAAGTAAACATGATAATGGTGACACGCATCGGTACATCGCGCACCCAGAACGTTAGCCAGGCGACCACGTTCAACATCGTTAGAGGGATGAATACATGCAGCATGTAGTGGTTCCAACGGCGGTGCAAAAAGAACTCGACCTTGATGCACGAATACTCGCCGGTGTTGGTACGGGCCGAACATATCGATGTGTTGTATTGTCTCAGTTCAAAAGTAGTCGGTAGCTGGTTTTTGTTCATTTGGATTGGCTGTATATCTTTCCATTCGTAGCTGAGAATACTTCGAATGTGTCCATAGCTAGAGATGTAAATGCCGCATACTTGAGTGTCGAACGGGAAGGCCGCTAGATTCATTGGGCACGATAGTTTGAGTGAAGCCCGTTCACTTAGAAGAATTTGGCCGTTGCGTTTTACTCGCAGGAAGACGTTGTCTCTTGATACTGAGTGCCTGTAGCCTTCAAGTTCATTGCTGAAGAACGTGTCCGGCGTCCAGATGAGGGACGGATCAGCGACCTTCTGATAGGGTAGATTGCCGTCGTGCTTATGCGACAGTCGCGGTTCCGTCCACTGTTGTCGAAATGTAATTTGCGCTTCGAACGTCTGATCATGACTGTTGATGTTACGCATATCCCGCAAATACAAGTCAAATATAACGTTCGTGTTCAGACGCGGCTTGTCTGAAGGATTGTAGCGCTGTAAGGTAGCGTTCCATCGATCTTCCGAGCCAGTTGCTACCTTTGTCGTGCATCGTGCTAAGAAGAACGATACCAACCACACTTCCGCACGTCGCATTCTGATGTTCTGAACTATTATTTTTCCTGTTGAATGCTAGATATACGAAGTGACCAATTAATGGAGCGATATCAGGGGGATGACAGCTGATCTATTGTTTGAAGAATACCGCAAAATCGCTGAATCGACGAATAGATTCCTCAGTCGAAACCAGATAGACGAGTAAGGGGCGCGGGCCCTACTATCAGCTAAGCTTAATAAATCGTTATAAACTTGTGGAATATACACTTTCCTGGAGGTGAATGAGTGCCGATCTATAGACCTTGCCAAATGCATTTATCGTCAATTTAAGAGGAAGTGGAGAGCGTACACGTGCGAGGACCTAGACTTTTTTTTTTTTTGGTTCATTGAAGTCGGCACAATGTGTGGAGCAAACAACAGGGAGACGGACAGAGAGACAGAGATTCAGGACGGTCAGAATAGACCCTACAGAACCAACCCGCTTTTCTTTGACGAGTTACAGTGACCGACTATCTGATTGGTGCCGGAATGTTTATTGCAAGCGAACGGGTGGCACGCCGATCGACCGTTGGTAAGAGCGAATGCAAGCATTGATGATAACGAACATACTAAAAAAGGAACCTCCGTCGTGGAAGCCATGAATATTTCTACGCGATGAGACACATCATCCTCATGTTATGCACTGTGGTAACAATCGCTTCTATGGCCAGTATTCACAATTAAGTCTCACGGTAAAATATGATCTCAATATATTTATTGTTATTATTGAATAATAAAAGTAAAAGAGCCTCTAGAGCGGTTTACATGTAATGTCAACACGCATAGTGGAAAGGTGTGAGGCAGTTTTTGTACATGGTTAAAGTGAAGGCGTTGCAGATTTCAATTGAAATGGTATAGTTGTGGTAATGTGTAGATGTCATTTTTACTAAAACTTAAAAAACTCTTCTTCGATTCTGCCTGATACGGGCGTCTAGTAAGGTTGTTCATAGGACCGAACTTACTGGAAATAACACTGGGGTTTGGTTTAAACACATACGGAAATCTTGCGTGGCTGTGTCGTGGCAGAGAAACTGGGACTTTTTATGTGTAAAAGGCAGCCGTGACAATTGTGTTCCGAGGACCCTAATTCGAAGTTTGCTTATGCAAGCCCGGCACAAACCGCCTAGCAATCGATATCTGAAGTGGCCTAACAGACGCACATATATTCTAGTTCTATGGCAACACAGATCACTACTAGCAACGAGAACTCCTCTCTGTTTATATGCGCTTGCAAAAAATTCGAATTGTATGAATGTCACTGGGTAAAGAACCCGATGATTCTGACCCGTTGTTGATGTCGCTGTTTATCCTTACAGGTATGAGATAAGAGCGTTTTCTCCTATGGATGAAGATTTTCTTGTGCTATATTATCAAATGACTTGGCCATCGGTTTTAGTTGGATGGCTTAAATTATACAAAAATCATGGTATCATCATAAATTATACAAAAGAATGGCTCTCTCTGAGCTGGACTCACAACACATTTTGATTAGACAGCCTTGTGGATGGAAAAAAAAAGACGAAAATTCACTGCCCACCAGTGTTTACTTTGAGATTAAACTATCGGAAAATTTTTCTAGTAGAGCCAAGCAAGCCATTTTGTCATGCATCGATGACCCTGTTACCTCACCATCGGCGACAGACAACTAAGTGTCGTTCGGCAATGTTGTCACGTAAGTGAGGCTAGCGTTTTCCAAGTGTTCAATGATGTACAACCATTATTTATACCATTATCAATGAGTGCAGTCATGAACAGGACAGCTGGTATTTCGCTACGATCTGCACCCACTGAAATTGTTTGATTGGCCTACTAAAGTCCTATGCTGTATCGCCCCATAGATCCATTGCAGAGTGGATTTTTTTTTTTGCTTAAATATTGATCATTTATCCTCTTCAAACATCTTGTACCTATTAACGAGGCGGCAGTGAAATAAACGAAAGGTTTCATTATCGCGATACAGTTTGTGCAGCTCTTATGTACCGTAAGTGAATATACGTTACAAATTAGATGTGTATACCAAGTACAGTCAGTCGTGGCTCATGAAAGAGCTTCAAACAAAGCTTCAGCCAACTTAGATCAATGGCACACTCATATGGGAGTCACGAAAAAAAACAAAGATCTTCACTTTGCCTTTTCAAGCGCTACTACGTGCGTGTACCGCAATAGCTACGCGAATAGATGTTCAGGAATCATATATACATATATATCACCAATGGGATTGAAAAACCGGAACCTCGAGTCTACCCGGCTAGTCAGTTTTTACTTTTTCGTGATAGAGTCGAGACAACGACAGACTGTGCCGAAGCCAACGTTTTGTGACGGTAGCAAAGTGGGTAACCATCGTCACTTGTTTTGTGCTTCCCAAAAATGGATAAGGCTTAGTGCCTAAAATGGGAAGCAAGGATATAAACGTTCCTAATGTGAGACGAAGCAGCAGTCGTGTATCCATAACGCAAGCCATGCTATTCTTTTTGGTATGACCCGTGGAGCAAACGCTAGGTACAGTACTAATAATTTTAGCGGGAATACAGATGAAAGTACTTACTAATGGCCATCTTTACCGATATGTTGAAACTGCTTAATCTAAATCTTTGAAACAACATTCCCGTTGATAAACATGCAGTGTATCTAGGAACAAAAACAATGTGCTTCGGGTTTCGTGCTACATGACGGTTAAAGGTAAAATAGACGTTATCCGTGGTTTCGTATAGCTAAGAGATATTTGCTATTCAGAAGGGAAGGTAATCGATGAGTTGGCAGATGGAACCGTAATTGCAGGAATTGGTGTTATCAAATGCTATATGAAACGAACGACCGTATGGAGCGCGAAGGGATTCATAAGGAACGCTGTCACAACTCTAAAATGTATAAGGTGATCAAGCAAAAAAACAACACCGTAGATTTGGCGTCTTAAGATCATGGCAAATGATATCATTGCCAGTGCCAACGGTCGTCGACGAATATAGTATATGGCTCAACGCTAGGCTATAAGTTTACTATCTCTTTACCCCCACTTAACATATCCTGTATAGATATTTTACCAAAGGCACAATAACGTCACAAACATGTTATAAATAAATTCGCTGATTTCACACGAATATAGGCATAAATAGTTCGGCCTACAACACAGAATTGCGTGTAACGGTTATCCATTTGAACAAGAATACCCCCCCCCTATTCCATTAAAGAGGTGTTCTCGCTTATTGATCTTGTACTGTTTCACTTTAAAAAGTAAAGAAGTGTCCACGCAGCTAACATCCGCGTACTAGAATCACACGCTGAACCGGAATTAGATCGAAAAGTTGATTGAGTGCCTCGAAAATTAACGAACAAACGAAAACTGAAAATGGGGCAACCTATAGCCTCCTATGTCTGTCTGGAAAAGTTGAGATTTATAAGCAATGATTCAAATATTGTATAACATACAACGAAGGCGTTAACGAAAAATAATAGTTGGCATACAGATGCTGCCGAACAAGAACTTATCATAGTCGCTCTTCAAAGAAAAATTTTCAGTGGTAAATCGCGTTCCTGGCAAAATACTGCTTATCAAGGCACAATTGTATCGTACTGTTAGTAACGTATGTTTTCCTCCGTTTCTGCACCCAGCATAGAACGTTTAATACGTTAGCATAGAACGTAGAAATTTAATTAATAATAAAGTTTGGAAGATATATCGTAGGAAGAGATAGATGAGATGTAAGCTGGGCAAGAGTGAAGATATTTCACAGGTGATTCAGACTCACAAATATTAAGTAAATGTTACATAACCTAGCCAAGCGATAAGCTACGTTATTTCATTCCACATACAACGTCAGTAATCAATGATTTTTTCAAAAGACTAGAAAGTGATTCTTTTGGTGACCTCGTTTTCTATGTAGTATACGTCGTTAACGGGGCTATTAATTTTTCTCTTTTATTCGATTTTATTGTGCGATATTTTTCATAAAATACTTTGCATAGATAATAAGAACAGTCATAAATTAGAAGCATTTGAATGAGGCATAACGAAATCATTACACCAAGGATAGAACTAAGGCTATATGGGTCATTAGACACGCTACATTGTCTAGGATAATGAATGAGACGGGTAGTTATTTCAAACTAAGTCACACTGAGACCCGGGAGGTAGTGCTGAATATTTTCTAATATTAACTAGCGACGAGATAATGAGTGGAATATAATTTTATTTCTAATTTGAATCGTTTCAATTTTCGTGAAATTCGTACGAGGAAGCAAGCAACGCAATTGATTTTCGCGCAATAAAACCTAGTTCGGCGTACTTGTATAACTAATTAAGTGCCGGGCAGGCTGACCTAAATTAGTGCTGGCAAGACATCTCTTCTAACAGGTAGAAATCACAGTAATCATTTTCATTTATAATAATACGCCGAAGGGCGCTTGGCGCGAAGAAGACGCCGTAATGAGGTGGTGATCGAAGCTTGAAGAAATAGGCTCCCGACGAGACGTTATAGCCCGTGGCGATAGCGCACCGCATAATAGATTACAATAGAGATTGTTTTCTAGTAGGAGCATCGACGTTTCGTCACCACCAGGAAACAAGCAATGTTACATCGTCCGTTGTAAGCCAACACATTGTTCTGAGACCGACTAAAGATGATCAGGCCGCAAACGCCACCTAGGCGGCAAATGCGTGTTTGTGAGTGTGTCCTGCGTACGTAAACCTTGTCTCTTTTAAACGCAAAAAAACAATGGGTCAACGCGCGCTTTCACCTACGATTACCTGTGTAAGTAATTTGATTTTTGTGTAACTTTATAAATTCAAATTTTCATTCTCTGTTGAATCACACCTCACACAATGTACTATACATAGTTGGCGTTGTTTACCCGAGAGACCTCAAAAGTCGGACCTGAGTTTTGTCCAGCAACTAAACAACCTTGTCTCATTGTTTAGCTTACGACTAATTGTCCATATGTTCATCTTTTCGGTAATAAAATATGACGTTGATCTTTTGCTTGTATTGGATAGTTTTGTGATTAATTTCTCTTCGTTTTCATTAGACATTCCATTGGACGGTTCACCCCCAGCAAGAAATTAAGATTTTGCTAGATCAGGCTGTATCTGAGCTAGATAGTTCTCACTTTAATCAGAGATTCATAGAACAGCATTTGAAATACCCACTTTTGCTTCTCGACCTTTAGTTGGTTATGTGCGTCCATAGGTGATGTTCCTGCGTGCATGCTTTGCCACTAGGGCAACCCAAAGCCTATGTCAAGACTGCAGGGAAAAGCTAAGAGAGGTGTATCGCTTTATCTTCCCAAGGGTGCTACGCACTGAATTTCTTCTATTTCTATCTGTGCATGTCCATTTATCTGCTGGCTTGCTGCACACTAATGGCAGAAATTCAACAACGTTCAAGCAGAACATCATTTCGTTTTTTGTGGGCTGCGAAAACCCTATGCAAACCATTGCAATTGGAAGTCTCGGGGTTACCAGTCCTCGATATTTTCCTTAACCAGGTTTCTTGAATAGAGCTAAGCCTCCTCGCAAGGAAGCTTATCGCAAAAGCTTCACATTTGATTTTTTAATAGTTGCTTAGAGAAGTACGCGTTTTCTACGTAGTTGTTTGTCATT